CGCCATGTCATGGTCCTCCTCCTCCTCCCCCTTCTCCTCCTCCTCCCTCCCCTTCTCCGCTTCGGCCACCATGCCAGGGATGCCTTCGCACTCTGGATGCCGCTTCCAGGAAGCATCCTCGCTATGGATGCGCGAGGTTGGGTCAGCCATGTGGGAGCCTCTGTGGGCCCTGTCCTAAATCTGCCGTCGACCAAATGCCGTCCACACTTCGACCACCCCTCGCCACCCTTTCCTCCACTTGTTGTCCTGGCGTCGGCCACATCCGACCAGATCTGGACGAACCCCCGAAAGCGGCATGGAATTTTGGCGTACCCTGAGGCTCCCATGAAGAACCACTCAATTGCCGAGGTCCTGGTTCGCAATGTCCTGGTCCAGGGGGCGGGGCGCGGATCAAGGCGGGGATGGGGGGGGGGGCGGGGGGGGGGGCTTCACGCGGCTCCCAAGACTGGGCAAGCCCAGAGGGGGGAGGAGCTCAGACATCCGAGGCCTCGATCAGTCTCAGCACGAGGCCCGAGGCCGCCGCCGTGGGCGCTGCTGATTGCTGGGGCGGACGCGGCGCTGCGGGACGGCGGCGGGCTCGGCGGTCGTCCTTGTCGTCGTGCCATCCTCATCGTCCTCATCGTCCTCCTCCTCCTCCTCCTCCTCCTCCTCCTCCTCCTCCTCCTCCTCCTCCTCCTCCTCCTCGTCTTCCTTCCCCTCCCCTTCCCCTCCTCCTCCTCCTCCTCCTCCTCCTCCTCCTCCTCCTCCTCCTCCTCCTCCTCGTGTCGTGCCGTGGCGCTCCTCCCAACGCCGCTGCCTGTTCACGGTAGTTATATATGTTGCTCTTCGGTTCTCGGCGCGACGGGGCCAGAGCGCCGCAGATCGCAACCCCGCTCTGCGCGAGCTCTCCTCCGCTGCGGCAACAGCACGCGCGAGGTGCCCGGCAGCAGCGCCCGACTGGCCCCCCCTCCGCTCCGCGGCGGCGGGGGGGCCACCCCTGGCGTGCAGCACCTCACCGCCTCAGTGGACGAGGAGGCGGATGATGATGATGGTGGTGATAATGATGATGCTGATGCTGATGCTGATGCTGATGCTGATGCTGATGATGATGATGATGATGATGATGATGATGATGATATGTTTGATGATGATGATGGTGATGATGATGATGCCGACGATGACGATGGTGATGATGATGATGATGATAATGATGATGATTATGATGATATTTTTAGTGATGATGATGGTGATGATGACGATGATGATGACGACGATGACGATGTTGATGCTGATGATAATGATGATGAGGTTAATGATGATGATGCTGATGATGATGGTGGTGATGATGACGATGATGATGATGATGATGACGATGACGATGACGATGCTGATGCTGATGCTGATGATGATGATGATGATGGTGGTGGTGATGATGATGATGATGATGATAATATGTTTGATGATGATGATGGTGATGATGATGATGATGCCGACGATGACGATGGTGGTGATGATGATGATGATATTTTTAGTGATGATGATGATGGTGATGATGACGAAGATGATGACGACGATGACGATGATGATGTTGATGATAATGATGATGGTGAGTTGAATGATGATGATGATGCTGTGATGATGATGATGGTAGTGATGATGACGATGATGCTGATGACGATACCGATGACGATGCAAATGCTGATGCTGATGCTGATGATGATGATGGTGATGATGATGATGATGATGATGATGATGATATGTTTGATGATGATGATGTTGATGATGATGATGCCGACGATAACGATGATGATGCTATTTATAGTGATGATGATGGTGATGATGACGATGATGATGACGACGATGACGATGATGATGCTGATGATAATGATGATGGTGAGTTTAATGATGATGATGCTGATGATGATGATGGTGGTGATGACGATGACGATGACGATGACGATGATGATGATGATGATGGTGATGATGATGATGACGATGATGATGATGATGACGATGACGATGACGATGATGGTGATGATGACGAGGATGATGACGACGATGACGATGATGATGCTGATGATAATGATGATGATGATGAGTTTAATGATGATGATGCTGATGATGATGATGATGGTGGTGATGATGATGATGACGATGACGATGACGATGATGATGATGATGATGATGATGATGATGATGACGATGACGATGACGATGACGATGACGATGATGATGATGATGATGATGGTGGTGATGATGATGATGATGATGATGATGATGATGATGATGATGATGATGATGATGATGATGATGATGATGATGAAAGGGGGGACGCAGTCGAGGTACTACCAGAGGGAACGCCACACGAGGAGCCGAGGGGCTCTTCGGGCCACGGCGAGCCTCGGCGACAGGAGCTCCCCGACCTGGGCCTGCGGAGCGGCCCGGAAACCAGGAGGAGGAGAACTGGCCATCGCTCGGGCGTCCATTCCCTGTGCTTGTTTCGGTTTCGTGCGTGGCTTTTGCGCCAAGTGATCAAGGATGCTCCTCGATGGTCCTCGCCGGAGGAAAAATGCACGCGTCCGAGCGATGCCAAGAGAATGGACCGAAGATGACCGAAGATTCAAGGATGCAAGGGTACCCCTGGGAAGCCGATCGTCCTGACTACCAGGGTTGACTGCCTGGACACATTCAGGCCCTAGGAAGGGGGGGGGAGGGGGGCGGCAAATACGTCCAGCAGGGCTCGACCCAAGCAGTGGTCTCCGTGTCCGTTCTGTCTTCGCCCCTCCCCCCCGAGCTCACGACAACACGGCCCGCCACAGCGCCAGCACACCGCTCTGGCCGAGCCCTGGCATCCAGGTGCCCCCGCCTACCGAGGCCCCCCCCGCCTCGGACAGCAGGGGCGAGCCGTGCTCTTGGATTGGCCCTCCCCTCCCCCGCCCTCCTTTCGCGAACCCCTGAGAGCCGCGCGCACCACGGACCACTCTGGAGAGGGGCCACGGACCGCCCTGGCGGAGGGCAGAACCTCGGTGGCCGCACCCGCCACGACTGCATCCGCGCGGCTGCGGGCCCCCCTTGGGCTTCCACGGAGGCCTCCCGAGACAAGATCCGAACAGATAGGGTCGGATAATCGCGCCGCACCGCACATGCTTCGCCCGGGCGTCGGCGATGCAGCGGCGACGTCGGCGATGCATCGGCGCCGTCGGTGCGGAGAAACTCGGGTTCCGCATCGAGCCGCATCGCCGACGCATCGCGCAGGAACCTCACCTCACCTCACACCCCTCTCCCCTCCACTCACCATCATCATCATCATCATCATCATCATCATCATCATCATCATCATCATCATCAGCATCATCAGCATCAGCATCATCATCATCATGACTCATCGTCACTACTCACCATCATCCTCATCATCGTCACCATCACCATCGTCATCATCATCATCAGCATCATCATCATCATCATCATCAGCATCATCATCATCATCGTCATCATCATCGTCACAATCATTCACACTCACACCATTACCATCCTCCTCACCAACAACATACTCATCCTTCGACCATTCAGCATCGTTATCATCCTCATACTTATCAACAGCATCATCAGCATCATCATCAGCATCATCATAATCATTCGGTCACTCATCATCATCACCACTCATCATCATTAGCATCGTCCTCACCACCACTCGCCCACCCGTCACTTCGTCACCACTCACTCCCTAGCTTGAATATGGGGGACGTCTCGAGCGGGAGCCTCGTGTGTGAGTGAACTGCGGGGACGTCTCAGGCGGGAACCCCTCTCCATATGGGGCCCGTGCCTCATCTTTATAATCCGAGCGGGTCATCGGGATCCTGTAACTGTCGTCACTTTTGGGTTCCTGAGGCCGGAATATGGGGGGAGTATCAGGAGGGAGCCTCGTCCGTGAGTGAATTGCATGGAAGTCACAGGCGGGAGCCCTCTCCCTATGGGGCCCGCGCCTCATCGTTTTAATCCGAACGGGTCATCGGAACCCTGTAACTGCCGTCATTGTTGCAATGCTGAGGCCTGACTGTCTCAGGCGGAAACCCTCTCCCTATGGCGCCCGCGCGTCATGTGTTTAACCCGAACGGGCCATCGGAGTTCTGTATCTGTCGAGACTTT